ATATATATATATATATATATATATATATATACTTTCTACTTGGTTTGGGAGGATTTGGATCTGTTTGCCTTGTTGGGTGCCCTTAGAGATTATGTTTGTCATGAATTGCTGTTAAGTAGGTAAACTGAAACAGATTCAATCAAATTTATTAATCTACAAAATTACAGTAATGCAATGTGAAAACACCCAGATGGCTGCCTGCATTAATATTCATATGGCAGCCTTAATGTAGTCAATCAAAATAAAGGATTTCATGTTACACTTTCAAAATTGTTCAATTGTTCAACTTTCAAAATTGTTCAATTTTGAAAGTGTGTTCATCTCAAATTTCATGGAAGGCAAATATAATTCATGTTAGGAAGTCTGTTTAAAAAGCTTTCAAATGATGCTGGTTTTGCATTTTCAGATTTACTTTTTGCTAATGGTAAAATGTTTTCTTCCAGTACTGTTTCACTGACACATTTGTTCACATTTCTTAGTTTTTGTACCTTCTGGAATGCAAATGTCAACAAACAGCTCATTATTTCGCAGCAATGAGCCAAACACATCTCTTTTTTCGACAACTGTCTTTGTTGTTCGCAGACTTTAAATCTTCTGCAATCTAGCCTTGGTGCAAACGTTGAACTTATCTGCTGCAAGTTATTGTTCCCGGTTCACATTCCGCGTTTCATCTGTTATAAAATACATCTTTGTCTAAAGATGTCAAAAAAGGAGAGCAGTTGAAACTCAGAGAATAGATCAAAATACAGTATGGTTCTCAATAATGATGAATAAAGAAATAAAAAAAATGTTGTTTTTTTTTGTTTTTGTTTTTTATCAGTTTCCCTGCAAGTTTTGCATGTGGTGGTTTATTTTAAACCTTTATAAAGAATCAGGTTATTTTCAGTAATTTGAGATTTCTTGGAAAATTACATATGTGGGAAAATATAGTTCCATTGATCCTAAGCTAACTAACATTAAAGACTATCTAATCCCCAGGGTTTCCATTAGATAATTCAGTAGATACTTGGATCCTTGTTCATTGACAAGGACAGTTACTGGTTTCTCTGGCTACGTTTTGTACACCAATCTTGGTACTATTCTAAGGTCAAAACAAAATATAAAAAAAAGAATAATGCAGGGGTGAAATTGTTCTATGTGAAAAGCTGAAAAAAAGCATCTTCACTGTGTGTGTTTACAGTCTCTGCAGATATCTTCAGATGCAATCTGTGATTAACTTGTTTATGCATTCTGTGTATGTTACCCATGAGGCTGTATCTTTTGGGAGGTTTAGCTATTTCCAAATGTGCATTTTGTGAATCCCTCTACAATTTTACCTCTATTTAACTTTTATTTTTAACTTTCTTCTCATAGGTTTTGGCTGTTGTCATCCACATGTCACAGATTCTCAATTTTATTATGACACCAAGCAGTTTGGAATACTTTACTTTTCTTTTTGTAACAGGTTGAGATTGGCATTGTGATAAAAAAAAAAAAATATATATATATATATATATTCATGTAATTTAAGATTTCATGGGTCTTACAAGATCATCTAAAGTCCTTGGTTTAAAATAAAATTAGAAGTCTTTCTGTCTTTAAGCAAAGTGGGCAGAACTTGGGCAGCTTTGATCAGCATGCTTTAATGAACAGATTACTCGAACTCATCAAGTAACTTTCTAAGGAATGCAACTTCACTCAGTGCTTGCATCAAATGCTTAAGGTGTTAATTTAGATTTAGAAATTTCAAGAAACAAAATCAAGATTTTTAGACTTCACCTCTTGTCTGCTGTGTCCTGCCCTTTAATATTTCAACAAATAATCCATTTCCTTACTGAAATATTTCAAGTCAAAATATATAGATTTGTCAGAGCAATGTGTTGTAGTGCGGTACGAGAACCCAAAGCAATATCAGCCTTGGATTTCTGTCTCAGTATTTAGCCGCGCTGCTGCACATTCTGACCAAGCTGTGGTAATATTCCATAAACACTGAACCCCACCACACCCTTCCCCCAGTAATCACCACTGATTAGACCCTGCACTCCCCAGTTTGACACTTGCCTGGCGCCATCTTTATTTTTGTGCTCTGCCTAGCAACAAGCATAAGCGCCATTTTGGTCAGGGTATACATAAGGTTTATATAAATACATCTTTATTTTTTTCTTTCTTTTTTTTTCTTTTTAGGGACCTTCACTGAATTGTGACAGGGTAACCCCCCGTGTTGCTTTTGGGCTGAACATGATGAGGAACCCAGCTGTGTAACAGGGGGTGGGCTGTTTTGTCACACCAGGTCTTTTGCTTTTATGCATCATCATAACCAAATATGACATCTTGCGTAATTTACACTGTACAGCTGCCATACCTTTCTAGTGGCGGTCAGGCAGCTGGCAGTGGCTGAAACCGCTGTGTCAGCACTGACACGGACTGACCGATTGGGATTTTAATTGGATCTCTGGCTTTTTCCTGAACCTCCTCAGGTGGATTCAGAGGTGCTTTTGCCTCTCTACTTGCTTCTTTTTATCAGTACCCTGTCACCCTTCTACTCTTTTTTCTTTTTTTTTTTTATAAGATTCTCTTATTCTTTCTTCTCATGAACTTTTATCCCTGTAGCTCCTGGCCATCTTCACCCTCTGTGGCTCCTTCATGATGGCCTTCTAATCTCTGCTAGTGTGGCTCCATAGTAAGTACTGTTGATATGCTATTCCAGATTCAGGCTCTGAGATGTATAGAGACTGACTCATATTAAATGGAACCAAAAAGTGGCCAACCTGCTGTTAAAATGCTAAATCCATGATAAATATTTTAAACCCTTACTCTCCCCATAGTGTGACAAATATATGTGCAAGACAACAAATATTCGAGTCTGTCAAAATACATCTTACTTGCTCATATTGGCAAGTTCTTAAAATCTTTAAGACTGTGGAGAGTGATGACCAATAAGGGCAAAAGACGCATTAAACACATGCATTACTCAGCTGCCGGTCAGCGTCAATGAGAAATCCCCGTTAAAGTTTTAGCCTTGGTCTATTGAGGTAAGCAGCAGAGCCCAGATTGGTTAACACACCAAAATAAGTCACTTCCAGTGAGGCTACAGCTCTTTAGAGGATCTATGAAGCAGCAGGGGTGGGTCATGAAGCTGGATGCTCGATGCTGATTGGCAAAAATAAGAACTTCTGACCAACACTGGCCAGACAGCGAGAAGTTTTTCCTCATGAGCCAAGAGGGAAAAGTGATCAATCAGTCAGAATAAAACTAAACAAACAACAGGGCAAAAATGAATCCTATAATAAAACAAGAGAGCCAAAAGGCTACTGGTAGATGAAAACAGCGATCCTATCTCAACAAGGCTGAAGGTAAACATTTTACATCTTAAATTTTTAATTCAAGTAAACATGCAAATAAAAAAATAAATAAAACAAAACAAAAAAAACCTAGGGATCATCATCTGTGCCTATGCATATAATAATAATAATAATAATAATAATAATAATAATAATAATAATAATAATAATAATAATAATAATTATAATAATTATAATAAAAATATTATTTAATCTTTATTGATCTCACATTGAAGACATTTACCTCTGCATTTAACCCATCCCCTGGGGAGCAGTGGGCTGCCATTGTGCGGTATTATCAATCAAAATGTATTTAGTATTACGTCTTCAGTACAGGGGCACTAGCCTCTCTTTGCCCCTGTCTAGGACCACCCATGTCACCATAATCTTTAGCCAACACCACATATTTTGTATCTGATTCACGTTGGTTCTCTGGCTCGGCCTCTCCAGACCTCTTAATGTAACCTTCAATCAGAAAGATATAACTTTTGGCTCAATATTTGGTAGGAGGTTTGCCCTGTTTATATCTCAGGAAAAACTGGTTTATGTGCTCCTGACTGTTGAAGTGAGAGTGAACACCATGGCGAGATCAAAAGAGATGTCTACGGGCTTTGAAAGTTGTAGCAGGTTATGAGTCTGGTAACGGACTTAAAGGGCTCCTAAAAAGATTTAAGTTACAGCTCCTTCATGGGTTTACGAAAACAAACTACAAGTGGAGGTCATTTGAAACATTGCCCAAATGCCCAGGTCTTGCTGTTCAACCAAGATTCACCTGAAATCAGATTGAGATGCTATATTAGTCTGTAAAAACTCTAAAATGTTATTAGAGGACATTTAGCAGGCTCTTACAATTGTTGATATGGAAGCAATTACAAGATACCACAGACATGTAACTTTAATGTGCAAGAAGGAAACCTTGGCTCTCTAAGAAAAACAGATTATTGGAGGAGAATAGAACATTCTATTTACATTGCAGAGCAGAGGGCTTGTTTAGCATACACCAAACGCAGCATCAAAGGAAAATAATGCCATAACAACTGCAAGCATGGGGGTGCAAGTGTCATGGTTTGGGGATTCTTGTCTGCAGCAGGACCTGACCATCTCACAACATAGAAACGGACATAGATTTTACGATCTAATAGAGGTTGCCTGAGGAAAAAAAAAGAAACAGTCTTAGAAATATTAAGGTGAAGCAGATCTGGAGAGATCACAATGACCCAAAGCATATCAGTAAACCTGCAAAAATAACTCACCAACTACTTTACATATGTTTCTAATTAAATTGGCAAATTGTTTGTAAATGGAACCACAGTCAAACTATTTGTTTTGGCATACAATTTTAGCCAATTAATTGAATTAGGAGGTTGAAAGTCCTTGGCAGAGTCAAAGCACTAATGTGGATCCCATGCTATAGGGGACAAATTACAAGTTTATATTTCAATGCATATCATCATAGGAAATTCATTTAGTATTATGCCTTCTGTACAAGGGCACTGGGAGTTGGGAGTTAACATGCTGGAAGCCTCTCGAATACTCTACCACTAAACTTTTATTTCAGGGAAATCAGATCCAAGGGATTTGCAATGAAGGTGGAAGCATGTTTGAAATATTTCTATTTTTTTAGAGCAGCTCATGCATTATTTTCCAGCACGAGGTAAGGTAATCAGTTTCATGCCGAAATCACTTTTAATTGCCAGAATGAGAAATTATAAGCTTTAAAACAGGCGGTAGTTGTGGGACCCTAATGTTAGACAATAAAATCATTACAGTTATATACCCATGTTTAAAGAATTTAAGTCCTATATCAGTGCTCTTTTGATTTAAGCAGTTCTTTAAATTTCTATGGTGATCATCTGCACAGCGGTTTTCTGATTTTTGTGGTGCCAACCCCCCGTGTAGACCAGCCTACACCAGGGCTTATTAAACTAGGCTCCTTTTCTACTCTTCTCAATAGTAGCTGCTGTGTCAACTTAAGCTCAAGCCTCCCAAAAATGTTCAGTTCTCTGACTATTGTTACAGAATTTTACAAAAATGGTTGCAGCTGACTGAGGTATTGCTGAATAGCCAACATACAGCAGGATGGAATGAAAAGCCCTGCCTACCCTCATGTCTAATGCATGGTTGTCTTTTGATGCTTTGCAATTTACCCTGTGGCTGGTTCTTAAAAAGAAATCTTTTTTTTCTTTTTGTCATTTATTATCCATGCCTTACATAACAAACTTCAACAGTGGAAATGAGACAGTTTTTCAAATACTTTCAGGACACCTTTTTAGCTGCTCCTAAAGTCTCTGTATACTAACCTTGATTAAAAAACAAAAAAATAAAAAATGAATTGTTTTTATGTTGTATTAGCACATATGTGTTATTTACATGCTACATAAACTATACATTAATACAATCTTTTAGGAGTCATTCAGTATGTTTTGTTGAGGCAGAGGTTGTGCTGCATTAGCAAATCTTTAAAGATCTATCAACACCTCTGATCTCCAAGCGTTTCAGATATGTTGCATCCTTTTTAGTGATTGACCAAAACTTTGTTCCTCCTGCTTCTAATCCTTCTACCAGACCCCTTGTCATCAGAGATCAACTCGTCTGGGCCTCAGTGTCCTCAGCTCACACACAAGGGCAGCTGGCAGCTTTCATGTATCGGCAGAGACATATGAAAATGCTTAAATATGCATATTTGAGCAAAAACTGCTTCTTTTATCTAGATTTGTGTTGTTTTTTTCAGAACAACTCTTGTATATGATCTCTGAGAAATGATCAGTTATATTTTAGAGCCCCCGCATAATGATTCACATTTTACAGAATGCATTTGATGTGTTTGTTAGAAGCTGTTACAAAGGCTTTGATTGTGCCTGCTAAAGAACCCACCGCTTCAGATTTTTAACAAACACATGTGCAGAGACGTTTTAATCTCCTGTTGTCTCTTAAAACTATCAGGCTTTTATTTAAAATAAAATCTGATCTACAGTGAGACTTTCATACATGGTTTCTGAAATATCTGTTGTTTGAGTTCAAACTTGAAATACAGGAATCACACTGATCACGATCCAACGTGTTTCAAAGCAGCGACCAATCGGAAGTGCTTAATTCTTGTCTGTTTTAGCAGGGATTGCGAGGCAGCTGTGTAATCAAGCCTGTGAACTCTACATCTAAAAGGAGGTTTCTCTTCTGAACACAGTCCCACTGAAGTCCATCCATTTCCAGAACATGGGTGAGCTGACAGGCTCAAGCTTGTGCCCGCTGGTTTGAAGCCATTAAATTAATATGTAGTGGACATTAGGCTGTGTGTAGTTTTAGTATTTGTTAAAGTGAGATCCCATGAGGCCACACTTTGGAGGCCTTTTGAGCGAGAACGTGAGGCAATCTTGCTGTTTGCCCTAAATGCTCCAACATCACCCCAGGGCCTAGTAGTTCTACAATGATGGATGTGGGACTGTGGGGAAAAGAGTGCCCCTTCCACAACACTGGAATTCCCCTTGGGCCTTTTCAATTACCTCTAGGCAAAGGTTTTTACTGCAATGATAAGTTGAATTAAGGCTGTGACGGTACTGAAAGGGACAAATGTGATTTGGTATAGTGTTGACCCTTAGTAGTGAGCTGCACAGACACAAGAGGGTGTATACATTTAGTTTTACCTTTTGCTCTCCCTTGCAAAGTATTCATACCTTTCATACATTTTCATGTTTTTTAATGTCCTATCTAATTACTTTAGTAAATTTCCTTTGGGATTTATTTGATAGAAAAAAAGCAGCAGATAACTGTGATGTGATTTATAGTTTTAAAAAGTTTTACTAATAAAAATCTGAAAACTAAGTCATGTATTTGTATTTCCCCCTCTTTACCATTATACCTCTAAATTAAAAACCTGTGCAATAACATACCTTCACAAATTCTCCTTTCACCAGTGTATGAATTAACAATAGTATAACTGTAGATGTTTATTACATTAGAGTCAACATTCAAATCATTAATGACCATTGGCAAGACATTAACATCACATTTGGCAGTTCTTTCAAGATAATAATCTTAACATGTGTCTTAAATTGCTTAATTAAAATGCATTTTTCAAACCTTTGATTCTCTCCTCCAGGTTTCCTCCACTGCTCTCGGCCACAGCTCCACTTGTCTCACCAGCATCTTCTTGATTCTGGCTGTCACCTAGCAAAACAGCAGCAGCCTACAGGTTAATTTTATGTTTCGCTTCACAACTAAAATGCAGATTTTGAATGTTCAGAAAGGCCTGTACATTCTAGACTAATTCTGATGTGTCATGACAACTTTAAAGACAGAAAAATGTTTGTGCTTCAAACTAGTTTACCTAGTTTTGCATGCTGTCACTATGTCCAGAGATTAGGAATTCTACGCATTTGGTGATACAATGGTAAGCTTATAAAATGTAATGTCCACTGACTCTTGACTTACCTAAAGTGTTAGTTTTTGCCTTCTTAAAAATTAAGTCCTTAAAATTGCATTGTCTTTGCCCCTTGGCCGTGATGCTTTTCAGAGCACCATCACCTACTCCGCTGGTTGCGCCACAGCGGTCGAAAATGAAATCACATGTGCCCTCTAGGCCACTGTAATTTAGTCAGGCTACTTGTAAGTGCACAGCCTGCCAAATATTGAAAGAGCAATATTATTGCCATTACTGTTAATATATAGTAGACATTTACACATTCAGTGATAAAATGTTACAGGGGATGATAAGAGGGGGATGGTCATTTAAGAGGCGGGGGGGATTTTAAAGATTTCTTTAAGAAGGGGGATGCCACCCCCCCCTCATCGCACCTAAAATCGAGTACTTGGTATAGGCTTTCTGAGGTAGGCTGAGAGGTGTGATCCCCTTTAGTTAAAACACACCCTCCACCTCCAGTTCTAATGAAGAGGAACCACCAGTCAAGGCTGGTGGAGTTTTCTCCAGAGGGGGGCTATAAATTCAAAATAGATGTATACCACAAAAAATTCAAACCTATACTAAGTTATCACACAAGTATACTCATATGAATGCCAACAAAAAAACATTATAGAAACACTTTATAAAAACAAGCTTAATCTGTGTTTTGCATGGTCCAATATGGTGTCACAGATGTAAAAAAAAATTTGCCAGTTTAATAACGAAAAGCTATTAGTCATGCTTTATACTTTTTTAATATATAACAACTCTGTTTGTTTTCTTATAATATGTTTATTTAAGAGTTTATTTTTGGTTGCAAATTAACAAACATCTAGAAAAAGTAGAATGTAGTATATTATTTTCCATGTGAATCTCAGATTGTTTATTCTTCTTTGCCTTTTCTAAAAAGTACTTTAAATCAGTCCTACCTGTCAGAGAGATGTTTTAAGTCTGTCTGTCCAGACTGTGTCCACGTCAAATCACTCCAGTCACTTTAAAAAAAAAATACAGGGAAAATAAAAAAGTGCATTAGCTGTCCCACAGGCTGTCAGCTATGACTTACGCTAGAACCAACTCTTGCTAAAAGACTGGTTTTAGGATTTAGCTTTTCCTCTGTTCATTGTGTTAAATTTACATCGGGCTTGTCAGGTCCCGGCTTCTTTACATGGATTTTTTTCACCATCATCCTTCTCGCAAAAGTGTAAATCCAGCAAAGATCTCACTGAAATGTGTGAAAGCTTCTCTTCAAGTTCAACTGTCATCGTCTTGCCATAATCCCCACCTCACTGCCTAAATGACTACTAGCTACATCACCTATATCACTATAGTAGGGGTGAAAATTCAAGGAGCTCCAAAGCCATTAATTATGGCAATGCTGATTGGCCAAATATTTAATAATTTTCCCTAGCAACATTATACAATTGGTTATTTTGCTACACTTCAGGGGCACTTTGAATGAAACACTTCAGGGGCACTTTGAATGAAATTCATATTACATGTAGCAACTATTAAGTAAAACTGGCATTGATAATACTTTTAAAATCTATATATATTATTTTAAGACTATTCCCCTCCACATCTAGGGAGGGCAGTGCCCCCCTTGTGGGCCAGCCGCCACTGGGAACCACCATCCCTGTCTGCCAGTCCAGGTGCACTGTCCCTGACCCTTACGCGATGTTGAAGAGGCCATGACAGTGTGACAACATCTAGTTCTCCAAGAAACTCATGGGCCATAACGTTTACAGTGCCTGTCATGCCAATAATTACCAAATCCGGTGATGGACACCGACAGTAAGGGACGCTGTCAAGCTGAAGAAGGAGTCCTATCGAGTCTGGCTGGCTTTGGGACTCCTGAGGAAGCAAGCAGATATCATGAGACCAAGCATGCTGTGGCCCAGAAGTTTGTGGAGGCAAAAACTCGGGCCTGGAAGGAATTTAGAGAGGACATTGAGAGGGACTATCGATTGGCCTCAAAGCCATTCTGGCAAACCGTCCAGCCTCCTGAGGGGAAAACAGTGCTTTGCTAACACTGTTTTCAGTAGGAGTGGGGGCTTGCTGACCTTGAGAGAGGATATTGTTGGAAAGTGGAGGGAAAACGTGGTGGAAGAAGAGACAGATAAAGTTGTGGACAAGATTAGAGTATTATTACGTTCTAAATTAGTATCCTAGGGTTCAATGTATCATAGACCACTCTTCCTTTGTGATTTAAAGTGTTTGGCTTGCCATGAGTATTCTGAGGAAGAAGGCATTCTTCAGACTACTCATTCACATTCATTGCTCGTCACTCCTAGTGACATGATAGTGCCAGCATCAGACTATGGGATTACTTTTCTTCTGCAGTGATATAACAGCTTGTTACAACTGCAACAACTGTGCAGGGCTCTTAGAGGCAAGAGATGTTACACAATCTTAGAGACAATCTGTTAGAGCTTGTGAAAGATGTAATTTGTGGTCAGTGGTCCAACTTCCAACTGGACCACAGGCCTAACACAATTTTAGCTGCAATGTAATGGTTTGCATCACAGTGTGTCTTTGCATTGGCATGGTCCAATCAAAATCCAAACTTAAATTAGATTGGAAATATGTGGCAAGACTTTAAAAGAGGCACAAAAAAACACAGCCTATCATTTCAAATCCCCATATACAGTAGGTTCCTCTGAAATTGAACAATGTGACATATAACCACACTAAAGGTCATAGAAAGCTATGGGGGCCCAGGTAACAGGTGTAATCATTACTCTGACAGTAGATAATGAGAACTAACCTTGGGTGGACATCTACTATTATTTGAAGAGCGCTTATATAACATAAGAACTGTTACAATAATCTTTTTGCCAATTAGTACAGTATCTCCGCAGAATTAAAACTATGAACCCTGATCCTTCCCACAGACGAGTTTCCCAAAGAACAAGGAAGAAGTCATGGTATTTATATCAGTCTGCAGAGACAATTTCCCTTTCAAGATTTCTTAAGGCGGAGAATGAAAAAAGAAATCCATATACTATGCAACAAAGGAGTATGTCACAGTTTCTACAGTTCCATTATTAAAGTTGGGTATTCCTCATAAAATTAGCATTTATCCTCTGCCATGCTCTAGTAACAATCACTAAGCTTTGTGAACAGCCTTGTTCGGTTATTCCAAGAATAATGCAATTTTCTTTTTCCACTAGTTGTGTCTCAGAAAATGTACTTAGCAACAAGGCATATTTACATGGAAACTGAACCCAATTGACAACAAAATCCTAAACCTTCTTTGAAATGTGTAAATGGAATGCAACTGAACTGGATCTTGCCAGACACAACCGAACAGCTCTAAATATAGTACTAGTTCAACAGCTTGGTACGGTTCAGTTGTGGCTCGGTTCTCTGATAACAAAGAGCGCATGAGCAGACGGCGTCCTCTCCTATTAAAGGTCAGCTGATTTTGCGGGTTTTCTGCTGTGTCCGGCTTTGTAATTCACAGATCTCCTCACCTGTTCACAACATTAACTTCTTCTTAGCCTATTTAGAATAAATGGTATCAAAAGAGCGTGATGTGAACTGGGATGATGCCTAGACTGAGGCTCTCATTGAAATTTGCGTGGAGGATATTATCCAGGCACAATTCCTGAACGTCATGGTCACCACCATTTTTGTTTGCGTGATTCCCACCTTGAGAGCTGCGGTATTCTGGGTCGCCGAAAGGAACCATGCAATTGTGATGTGTAAATGGTCATAACGAACCAAGCTCGGTACAGTTAACTGATCAAAGCCCAGTCCGAACTCGACACGGATCGGTTTCAGAGGGGTAGTGTAAATGGGGCATATATCTGACTACTAAAGCTCTGTTTGGACGGGATAAAAGTTGCTTTTTTGTCCATGTGACAGTTCATGTACAAAAATACCACAGAAAGGTGGAATTCAGAAAGGCAATGTTATTTAATGTTGTAATCAACATTAAATCGGCTCTTGGTTGTAAATATATGCGAATAAGATGCTAACAGCAGAATGGTTGTTTGTGTTGTCTTTATTTTAGATGAAGCCTGCTCTACAGTACATGGGCTTATAGAATGCTTCGAGTTGGCCAACATTTATGAGAAACTGTGTTTAGGTTTTTAATTGGTTGTAAGTAAGAAGCATTAAGATGAATTAACAGTTGGAATAAATCACTTGCTATATAATGTGTCTATATGATGAATATCACTCAGCATCTTGTGGCCGTAATCCCATTGAGTATTGTTGGTATTTTTTCATTTTCATTTAGCTTAAAGCTTTGCAAAACATAGTTGAATAAATGTCTAATTTTACTCAATAAAAATCTAGGCTTTGTTGTGAAGTACTGTCTCATTTGGATGTTTGTGTGTCTGTGTTCAATCTGTAGCGTGGAGGACTCGAGTCCCAGTGTATTCAAGCTCACAGATCACAGAAGTTCTGAAAATCTCCTTGATCATTTCCATTTTTAAAATAACTTCCTTTGAACATTCTAAGTCACTTGTGTGTGCGTAGGGGGAGGGGGTGTTTATTTATAAAGACTATTTAGACAATCAAGGAGTTGAAAAATAATTAGGCTACCATGCATGTGCTTGGACATGTACTCCCTTTCAATCAGTTAAAAACCAGCTGTTAATTAAACTTCCGAGCTGCCCAAATAATTTTCTTATTAGCTACCACGTTCCTCAGATCTGATGTCAGAGGAGCATATTTTCTTTTTGGCTGCTTCTTTAGTGAGATTTTTTTTCCACAGAAATCCCACTGACCCACATTGATCTCAGTTTTGAAGTGAATAATATGGATGTTAAGCAGAATGGAGGCTCTATTATTAGTCCCGTCTGAGCCTCTGTTTAGCTGGTGCAGTGAGTTGCTGAATTCCCCGAGAGGAGGCATTACCATCTCATTTGGATAAGGCTCATATTACCTCATGCAGCCGAGCCGTTTAATGTGGCGGGATCTGAGTTGTCAGTGCTGAATGTTTATTCTAGTATCTGAAGGCACGGCCAGTCCGGATCTATTTCAGCAACATCACACATGACAACTTGTTACACCACCTTCCTGATATTTCTATTGAAGGTGACTCACTGGCAACAACAGTGTATTGATCTTGGGGACCGTTTTAACAACCACCTCACACCCTTTCACACAAACACCTGAGTGCTTGTGAATTGAAAATGTTGGCAGATAACTTTCCCAGAACATCTTCTCCTGTAAGATGTCAGTTTAGAAGCTGTGTGCTGAACAGAGAGAGGACGATGAAAATCAAAGAAATTAATATGCAATAGAAATATTTTCGCCCTGATTAAAAGGCAGTGGCATGATGAGCAATCAAAACAAGAAATAAACTACATGGATTAAAAATTTGCTTTTAATTGGGTAGATGAAAGAGGCAATTAAATGCAGTTGAGTTAAGTCTCTTTTTCAAGTCAGCCAGTGCTCATTTATTAAAAATGAGAACATTTAGTGATGCGATGAATTGCTCTTCTCACTTACTTTTGAACATTTCTGAACCAAAATATAAATGTTTTAAATTTTTTGTCGTCTTTAGTTTTTATGGTTCTCTATTATTTTCGTGAATAAATTCAGAGTAAAAATTACATTGGTTGATTATATCTTCATTTCATGGGATGAACCTCAGAAAATTAACTCTTTGCAGAACCATAAGACCTGAGAGCCTGTTGTTGCATATTATTTCTTACCTGTTGTTGAATCTAATCACATTTATAAACTTTTCTGACTTGTCTTTCAGCTGAACAGACATTTTCAATTAATTGTTAATAGCTCACTCAAATAAAGATAAAAGCAAACACAAAACCATCAATTATTGTTGGTTGCACATGTAAAGATCTGAGAAAATCCTTGAAGTTAGTTTTTCTTCAAATTATTGTTTAAATGCAACATCATTCCCTCACAAAAAAAAAAAAAAAAAAAATAAAAAATTTTTTTGGGGGATTTAAAAATTTTTAATTTTTTTTTTTTTTTTTTTTACTGAGAATGTGATTCAGAGACCTAACTTCTTTACTTCTTTGTTTCTCAGGCCCATTCCAGAACAAGATAACCTGGCATATTGCTGAGGTAAATGTGTGTAGATCTTTGTAGATTAGAAAATGGCAAAAACAATAATAGGGATTTACTTTCCTAAACTTTTTCATATCTACAGTCAGAAAATTTACTTTGAAGGTTAAAACAAGTAAAGCTGTGACAAAGTCAGATGAGTAGCCTTTTTAATATATTACCATCATGTTAACTCCATATAGTGACTTACTAAACAATAAAAAGAATTCTGTCCTACAGTTAAAACTTTTAACACATGGAGTTTTATATAAATGCTGTGCTCTGGTCAGATGGGAATTAGATTGAGTTTTTCAGCAATACTCAGTTGAGATGGGCATTAAACTAAAGGTTGATGATGGGCTCTGAGAACTTTATTAGCTTCTATTGAATTTAACTGTATATGGACTCTGATACAACACTAAAAATGGGTCTTTACTCTGCCTTGCACCATATGGCCCTTCAATACAAAAAACTGGTATACCGGTGTGGGTACCAGATCTACTCGGGTGGTCAGATCTGCTCAGGGCCCTGCACTTTCTTATGACGTCAACATATGGCAACTCGACTCTGAC